TTATATATATATTATGTATATATATATATATATTATATATATATATATATATATATGTATATTATATATACATGTATATAATATATATATTATATATTTCTATAATTATTATATATATATATATTTATATATTATATATATATAATTATATATATATATTATATTTAAATATTATATATTATATATAATATTATATATATATATATATATATATATATATATATATTCTATATATATAAATATACATATATATATATAAAATATATATATATATATTATGTATATGTATATAATGTATATATATATATATAATATATATATATATTATATATAGATAGAAGATATAATGTATATATATATTATGTATATATATAAATATATATATATTATATATATATATATATATATATAATATACATATATATATGATATATATATATAAAATATATATTAATATATATGAATGTATATATATTATATATATATTATATATATATATATATATATATATATATATATATAATATCTATATATATATTATATATATATATATCTATATATATAATATATAATATATATATATATATATATAAATATATATATATATATATTTATATATATATATATATATATAATATATATGTATATTTAGTTAATATTTATTATATATATATATATATAGATGTTATATATATATATATATATATATATATATATATATATTATATATATGTGTGTGTGTGTGTGTGTGTGTGTGTGTGTGTGTGTGTGTGTGTGTGTTTGTGTGTGTGTTCTGTGTGTGTTTGTGTGTGTTTTTGTGTGTGTTTGTGTGTGTGGTGTGTGTGTTGTGTGTGTGTGTGTGTGTTGGTGTGTGTTGTGTGTGTGTGTGTGGTGTGTGTGTGTGTGTGTGTGTCTGTGTGTGTGTGTGTGTGTATGTGTGTGTGTGTGTTTATTAACTTATCTGGAACATTCTCTGCTGCTGGACAGGGTGGGCTGAACATGTAAATTGTGTCCTTGGAGGCAATGCTCCAAGAACACTTTAATAAATAGCCATTGAGATCTTGTCTTCCTCTAATAGAGTGGTGAACTCATGGCCATTGCCCTGGCCTCCAGCTGAATTTTTCATGATGGAACATTTCATGATGGCATGTTCTAGTGACCTGGTTCTATGCCAGATTTATTCATGAAGTGATGGTGATGTCACAAGGAACCAGTTGTTATTTGGATGATTTATTATTTTATATTTATTTATTCTTTATTTTTTTAATTTTAATTTTTTTTTTCTTTGAGAAATACAATTCACTACAGACGCTTGTATCATTTATCTGATAGTATAGCTGACCAAATTAATTTGTGTCCGACCTAAGATTATTGGGCTGTCATTTTATCTGGTAACACTAGTGCATTTAGGTTTAACACTATGAACCCTGTTGTTGAATAAACAATGTTAAAGAAGTCTGAACAAACTTTTTCACTCACATCTTAACCCCAATGCTCTAGATGACATTATGGTCCCATCATGGAAAAATCTAGGTCGAGGGCTGGGTAATGTGAACATACCATTATCAGGCAAAATGGACACAGGCTGGGTGATGCAAACTTGCCGTTATGAGCGAAGGCCAGGATGACGGAAAAGACTCGTCATGAGTGCACAAGATTTTGGAGTGTGATTTGACTCATTTAGCACTTAGAAGGGGGCTTTAGCATCATTTCCATTGATAAATGAATGTGGAGTGTAATGTGCGCAAGGTAGGTTGTTATATGGAAAATTGAAAATTACGAAAAAATTTGATATATGACACACAACCAAATTTTCTATACATTTTTTTTTTCTTGCACTGAGGTATCTATTACATAGAGAGATGATATGGAGTCTGTGCAAGAAAATAAGCTATTACCATCTGGATAAAGCAAGTCAAAAGACAAATATGGACATTGGAAAATGGCCAAAAGGTTAAAAATGTTTACACAAAATAACTTTACAAAGGGGAGACACTATGTCTTGTCACTGCTCATAGGTGTTCAGGTGCGCCTGGCCTACTCATTGCACACTCGGGATGTTGGCTACTTATGTAACCACTCACCATATTTTCGGCATTGTGATTTCCGTGACACAACCGGATCCAACAGGTTAATATTTGAAATTTAATGCACAAGGAAGAGTATGAAGAAACAGACATTCCCTTGCTTTATTTCCTAATTGAATGGTGATACCCTCACTTAGCGTAAAGGTTACACTTACTATCCAATAATTTGAAAAAATAAAAGATAAAGAGAAAATAAAGATAGATGAATATATGATATTACCATTTGCTATATTTCCCTTTCTCTTTCCATCTATAACATTTATTCACTGATTACCATTTTGACTTTATAGTCTCCTACCAGAAAGACAATACTTTCCCACCAAAAGGTTCACCCTTTCAAAATGTTAAATACTTTCAAAAAGTTAAATTACCATGATGTGGCATGTGGTAATATTGACTGGCATCATCTCTCCCTTCCTTTTCCATAATGTTTACACATAGATAACCATTTAGGCTTTATTAGGTTTATAGCTGACTTTTGGTTAAAATAGTTTGCTTATTAGGCAAAGTTTTATATGAAATGCATAAAATATATTCACAGAGCTTTACATGATCTTTTCTTAAATTATTATAAATGGGTCATTTGTTTTTGCTCTTCAGATGAGCAAACAAATAGGTTAAATGGTAATCAACCTGTAGTTATAATAGAAAGGGAAAAGGAAATGTAGGCAATTGTCATATTTGCATATTTTTATATGTTTTATTTATTTAGGCCACAATTATGTATTCCTTGGTTTACAGATTTTATTTCTGAAAACCTCAGACAGGCAGTAGTAAAATAAGAATAAAAATAATTAGGTGTTTTGACTTATTTATAACAGTTTTTCCCTTCCAATACCTTGCTCGTTGTTGTGGGAGGGCTTAGGAGACAAACACTGAGGCTCAATGTAGGGGATCATCTCTACCTTGGGCCTCAGCCCTTGCCTCAACTTATTTTGCTTGGTCTTTTTCTCTCCTTTCCTCTTCCTTATCTTCTTTATTCCCTTCGTCTATCCCATTCCTTAAGTGTGAGAGACATGCTGAAAGGATGAAAGGCTGGCTTTGTGTCAGTCACGAATGGCCTCTGGGAGCCATGGGCACAGTATTCCCTTGGTTTATTGCCTAGCCCTTACCCCTTTTAGGGACCCTGAGGGGTATACCGTTTCTTTTCCGCATTTTATTCAGGCTCACCATGGCCAATAATGAAGATTCTTTACCCTTAATAGGGGCACTCAAGAACAAAGGTCATTAATTATGATCAGATTTGTGCAATTCTTGTATATATTATATATACATATACTACAATTTACACCACCAAGTTTCATATTATTTGGATAATAAACAATGAAATTATTAAAAAAAAAAACAAAAAAAAACAAGTTTTTGAAAAATAAAAAATTATTTATTGGTAACGAGGCTTGCCCCTTCATCAAATAGTCCCACTGGCTCTCCGACCCCACGCTCTCCTTTGACCACGACTCCT